ATGCTGGGACGTTGCACACCAGAACCTCTGAGCCGCAGATTTTCCATTAGCATCTAAATTAAAAAAAATAAAAATAAGTAAGGCATGGTTAAGGTAATTCTGCGGTGTCAGGGGGTATAGTTCCCCCCTTTTCATTGTTGTTTCAGAGTACCATTAGCTCTTTCAACAATACCTTGTTATAGGGGATTCTAGTTTTATGAATAATACCCAATTGTGCACAAAATACCTGGAACTTTTTCCAGTATAGTCAGGTCCATTGTCAGTTTTAAGACTTTTTGGTTGTCTCATAGTGGCAAAACATTTTAAGCAATGAGCAATACAGTGCTTGCCCGCCTCCCCGGAATGTAAAGTAGCCATAAGAAATCCAGAAAATGTGCTAATAGTAACATGTACATACTTTAATTTTCCAAAACTAGGGACATGGGTCACATCCATTTGCCACAAATGGTTGGGCAATAAACCTCTGGGATTAACTACCAAATGTGGCACAGAGAGTAATTCTGGGCAGGACTGACACTGTTTGACTATTTGTCTAGCTGCTTCTCTAGTAATTTTAAACTGGAGTCTGAGGCTGTTGCTATTCTGATGATGGATGGCATGAGATTTTTCTGCTAATTGTTCTTGGGTGAACAAAACTCTGTGGCCTGATCGACTACTTCAGCGTTTTTCAACCGCTGTTCCGCGGCACACTAGTGTGCCGCGAGATATAGCCTGGTGTGCCGTAGGTGCAGACAAGACAAGAATTTTATAATTTTTCACTATTTTGTTTACTTAATATTTCATAATAAAGTAATTATAAAATACTTTCTTTGTGTTTATTTGATTCCTATTCAAGAGAATTACTTTATATATAGTCAATATAGGCACAGAGTTAAGTTTTTTAACATTTTCTAATGGTGGTGTGCCTCGTGATTTTTTTCATGAAACAAGTGTGCCTTTGCCCAAAAAAGGTTGAAAAACACTGGACTACTTCATTGCCTTGAGCTAAAGGTCCAGGTAGGCCAGTGTGAGCTCAATATGGCCAAAATAACATTTTTCAGTCCTTTGTTGAAGTTCTTTTTGGATAGCTCTAAATAAACTCTGAACATTACTGTTAGAGGTTCCTATAAAAGGAACAGTTTCTGAATGTCGAGGAGGATCCAAGATGGCTGCACAGGTAAACACCTAACTGCAGCCACACACAACAATTTCAATAAAATACAACTATCGATAACATATAAAATGGACATTGCCCAGAGCTACAGGAAAGTTGACTGACTGGAAATTCTACAACAAGAAGGAAAGAGAAAACCAGAAGGAAAATCAGAGGAGCTGTAAAAGCCTAAGGTACGGAGACACGCTGCGCGCAGAGAGGACGGAGCCGGAGAGGAGGGGAAGGCTGAGTGCCTGGCTGGCGTTCCCTAGCGGGAAGGAGACAAAAGCTCTGGACTGTGCTGAGCCCCAGTTCTGACAGCACTGAACCCCAGGCTCATACAGAGGGAATCTAGGCTGTAAGGCTGAGCGGCAACAGGCAGTCCCAGAGGAGCGCACATTGCGCACAGAGGACGGACTGTTGACTCTGCTGCCAGATTGCCCTGGCGGGAAGGAGACAAAAGCTCCAGACTGTGCTGAGCCCCAGTTCCGACTGCTCTGAACCCTAGTTTTAGGCCAGACCCCGGGGACCAAGACTCTTACAGAGAGAGACTGGGCAGTGAGGCGGAATCCCGGGGAAGTGGCGAAAGGCAGAGCCCCCTGGAGGCGCGCACATTGCACACAGAGAAGGGACGGTTGGCTGTGCCACAGGATTGCCCTGGTGAAAAGGAGACAAAAGCTCCAGACTGCTCTGAACCCCACTTCCAACCCCACTTCCAACTGAACTGAACCCCAGTTCAGGGCTCATTGGGGGAGAGACTAGACTGTTTGGTAGCAGGCGAAACTCGAGGGCACCTCACTCTTAGAGGTGCTTGCAACGAGCACTGAAGGACCCTGAGAAACACCGAGACTCAGGAGCTGCACAGGGCGTGGCTGACATGGCTGACAGAAGCCAAGGCTGTAGGCTCCACCCTGAAACTCCGCCCCATCAGGGAAGCTGCGAAAATGCCAAGACAAGGAAATAGATCACAAACGAAAGAAATGGAGGACAAAAAGCGACTGGATATAGAGTTTAAAACCACGTTTATAAGGTTTTTCAAGAATTTCCTAGAAAAGATTGATAAATCCTATGAGGATATGAAAAGGGATCAACTAGAATAATAAGGAATCAACAAGAAATAATAAGGGATCAACAAGAAATAAAGAATACATTGTCTGAAATAAAAAATATTATACAGAGTCCTAAAAACAGAATGGAAGATCACAAGAATCAAGTCAAAGATTTGGAACATAAAGAGCCAGAAGACACTCCTCCGCAGAAGCAAGAAGGCAAGAGAATCCAGAAAGGTGAAGATAATGTAAGAAACCTCTGGGACAACTTCAAGCAAACCAACATCAGGATTATGGGGGTCCCAGAAGATGAGAGAGAGCAAGATATCAAAAACATACTGAAGGAAATAGTGACAGAAAACTTTCCCCACCTGGTGAAAGAATTAGACTTACAAGTCCAGGAAGCGCACAGAACTCCAAACAAAAGGAATCCAAAGAAGACCACACCAAGACAAATCATAATTAAAATTCCAAGAGCAAAAGACAAAGAGAGAATATTAAAAGCAGCAAGAGCAAAGCAGGTAGTTACCTAAAAAGGAGAACCTATACGATTGTCAGCTGATTTCTCAACAGAAACCATGCAGGCCAGACGGGAATGGCAAGAAATATTCAAGGTGATAAATTGTAAGAACCTATAGCCAAAGATAATCTACCCAGCAAAGCTATCACTCAGAATCGAAGGTAAGATAAAAAGCTTCACTAATAAAAAAAAGCTAAAGGAGTTCATCAATACCAAACCAGAATTATATGAATTGCTGAAGGGGGTTCTTTCAGAAGAGAAAGTTAATAAAGATAAAAGCTATGAACAACAAATACGTAACTATCAACAAGGAGTCACTGGGGGTTTTGGGGTCTCATTGTGGTGCAGGGGGTCACAAAGGAATTTCTCTCCTCGCTGCAGCCGCCACCTCCAGCTACTCTAAACAGCCCCTGGAGGGAACAGACACCAGGTGGGCGGAGGCAGGGCTCCCGTGGAGGCGTTTTCATCCAGCAGTCCACTCTGCTCCCACTGGGAAAACGCTTGCATCCTGCGAAGGTGGCGTGGGGGCACTGGTGACCCCTCCACTGCAATCAGACTCCCTGAGCTTTCTGAAAAGCTCTTACTGATTTTAAAATTACAACTTAAGAGTTGACACACACACAAGGACCAAGCGGCCCACAAAATACTTCCTTTTTCTTTTAAAGATTTTACAATGTACTGTAACCATTAATCACATTAAACTTGAATGGCCAATTGAGAAAAACAGTTCTGAGGCCGTTCCTCCACCACTGATGAAGACTGGGTGGAGGCAGGTGTCCGAAATAAGATTCATTTAGTTTTTGAGCTTGCTGGGCAGCCTTGGTGACTGCCAGCTCAAGCTTCCTTCTTGTAAATAGTTAATTTTAGAATTTGGTCTCTGCTTTTAATTTTTTGGATGACCACAATTGTTATAATTTCATACCTTCAAATTAATAAACATAGACATAAACTTTGTTAGGTGCGCCGATTTCCCTCTGGCAGAAAGCAAAGCACCCCTGGGAAAAAGGAATTCCAGTGGCCACTCGGGGCAGTTTGCTAGCCGTCAGAGCACTCAGCTTTAAACAAATTAAAGGTTTCTTTCTTTTTCTTTTTCACAGATTTTCACACTTATATGAACAAATAATTATAGCCAAGCAGACAAACAAAATATCAAACAAATGTCTGTACTTATACCCTTTCAGTAAACAAGTAACATTACAGTGTTTCAGCAAAATAGAAATGGCACTCATGTTGGACAAAGGAAACAAGACCAATACTCTAGGAACTGTGAGGGGAAAGTTATCCTACAGACCGGCGTTGACCTGGGAAAAAGAGTGGTTAAATCAAGTATTAACATCAGAGCCGTAGTCGTCCGCCCGTTCCTTGAAGTCCTGGAAATTAAAAAAAAACACACAAAAAAAAACACAACACTATAGAGGGGAACACAGAGACACAGACTAACCTTGACCCACTTTGACAGAGACCAAAACATAAAACACAAAACAAATAGGCCTGACACAAACATGACAAAACACAAGACAACCAGTCCGTACCTGGGGCTGAGGACACCGTATTGTCCTCCCGGGCTGAGGACACCGTCGTATCCTCCGGCCAGGGCCTGGAGGTTAAGCTGCGTCCAGCCCTCCAAGGACTCTTACCCTTTTCCAGGTTTCTAAGTCTATAGCTCCTTCCTCCGGGACCCAGGGGCAGACTTCTTAACTGTTTCTGCCCTGCTCTCATGCCTCTAGAACGAAGCATACTCAAGAATTTGCACGAACAGCGCTCGGCTATTCCCTTGCCCCCATATTTTTTACTCCAGACTATTACACTCCCTGCCCCAATCCTACCTTATTCCGGACGCGGCCTCTTTGCTCCTTGGGCAGTGTCCTCTACCTTAGTCCCAGGTTTTCAGGTCCCTGTTCAGGCGCCACCTGCCGGCAACGAACAGTACCTGAATGAGGGGGTGAGGATAAGAAAAAGACAGACAAGAACAGATGGGGTCGGGAGGGCTCAGACCGAGGTCTGCAGCCCCGAATTTTATCTTTCCAACCTTTAAATACAATTCTGAAGGAGGAAATGTTTATTTCAGGCAATCGTGCAGGTGGCTGTTTCTGCTAACATGATGAGTTCCTGTACAGGTAAGTTCCTTCAGCACCTGACCTTTTACAACCACCTGACCTTTTATAACTCCTTGTACAGCTCCTTCTGTGTCAGCAGGCTCCTATCAATTGTTTTACCCTAAAGCAAAGACATCTGCAGTTAGCAGCATTCCTAGGGGGAGTAGTAATTTTCCACTTAGGTTAATGGAAAAGGGGGGCACATGGAGAGCTGTGTCCTATACCCATGCCTGCATTCAGGCATATAGGACCCCTGAATTCAGGGCAGCTCCCCACAACAATCTGTACTGTACAAAATCTGTCCTGTGCACAATCTATACTGTACAAAATCTGTCCTGTGCACAATCTGTCCTGTGCACATAGACTGTATGTGCACAATCTGTCCTGTGCACAGTCTCACATAGACTGTATGTGCACAATCTGTCCTGTGCAGACTGTAAGCTGTGCTTGGAGGTGTGGGCGTAGGGACTCAATAGGACCCCCAGCGGCTAGGCAGCAAGGATTTCGAGGCCTAATTTCCCTTCTGTTAATCCGAGTGTCCCGAGCTTTCTTTTCTTTTTTTTCTTTTTCAATATATTTTATTGATTTTTTTACAGAGAGGAAGAGAGAGGGATAGAGATAGAAACATCAATGAGAGAGACATCGATCAGCTGCCTCTTGCACACCCCCTACTGAGGATGTGCCCGCAACCAAGATACATGCCCTTGACCGGAATCGAACCCAGGACCTTTCAGTCCCCAGGCTGGTGCTCTATCCACTGAGCCAAACCTGTTTCGGTAAAGTGTCCTGAGCTTTCAAGCTATTTCTTCCTCCCCACCCTTCACCCCTCAAACAAATGCTGCGGCAGACGCATGGAAGGGAAATGATGTCCTACTGAAGGGCGCACAACTGGGGCCTCCTCCCCAGCATAAGGCGAGCTCCCACGCAGGACACCCCTTGAGCCAGAGGGCGCAATAGCTTGGTGACACCAGACCCCCACAGGTGAACACCCCCTTCCCCCAATTTCCCAGGCCTAGGACGGTTCAAGGCGCAGTCTGTGAGACCGAGGTTTAATCCCTGCGCCTGCCTTCCTCCCTGCCTTTGGCAAGTACCCCCAATCCACTCCCACTCCGTCGCCTCCTTCACGGTCCTGGATCCCAAAGTTTGGGGCAGCAGGGTGCAGCGAGGACTGGGCAGCAGAGGGGAGACCCGCGGCCCAGGGAAAGGATCCTGAGCTCTGGGTGCTCTCCGGGCTCTCCCTCGGGGCGCCCCGGGGAGCGCAGCGGTCACCCCGCGCTGAATGCACTGGTTTTCCCCTGGCGCTCCTTCTGGGCTCTGGAGGCGCAGATCCACTCGCCCCACCCCTCACCCTCTCCTCAGTCGCCGGGTTCCCACAGCCGCTGGCCGCTCTCCTCCCCGCCCTCCTCTGGGGACCTGCCCAGCTCCCACCGGAGCTAACCTGCAGCCGGCCTGGCCGCGGGCCGCGGCAACTCTCCACGTGCCCACGAGATGGCGCTCCAGGCCAGGGGCGGCGGCGGACAGCCCGCCCAGGGAGCGCGGCGGTGGCCAGAGACCCACAGGCAGATGGGCACGGAGACAAGCCCACAGGCTGCCGTAGATCCAGGCCCGGGGACCGCACAGGCAGCCGGGGGCCGGAGGCCCTCCGCCGGCCCGAATGGGGCTCTGGACCGGGCTGCAGACGCGGACCCGGCGGTGGCTCCTTCCCTTCTCCCTGTGCTGCCCTGCAGTGCCAACGCCCTGAGCTGCGAGGCCCCAGGCCCTCCCCACTCCGCCCCCCGCTGCAAACACGTCTGTGAGCCCCGCTGGGCTTGGGGTCCTCACAAGCCCTTCATGGAGGGGGGAGGGCCGGTGCCCAATTGGGTCTCCCTGACTTCTCCTAGGCCGGAGCTGTGGGCTTGGACAACACCCCCCACACTCCATCTCCCCCTCCGCCCCTCCCCAGAGGAACTGCTTTGGCCTGAGGGCCCCCTCAAAGGTGCGGGCATAGGAGGCTGAGGGGGCCAGGGCGGCAAATGGAGGCTCCTTCCTCCAGCTTCTCACCTCCCCCTCCTGGTCTTCAAGGCCGAGCCCTGGGCGCTGCTCACCTGTGGTCCGTTGGCCAGAGGGTCCAGCAGCCTGGGCGAGCCTGGGGGTCTGGGTCGCTCCAGGGCCAGGTGGTGGGGAATGGGGAGCGCTGGCAACCTCCCTTGTGTTAAAGCCAAGACCTGGGTCAGGAGCAGGGGCGTGGGGAGCGGGGGCCTGCGGGGGCCTGAAGCTGCGGGGATCTCCCTTTTCCATGTCCCGCAGGGAAAGAGAGATGAATGAGCCGGTTCTAAGTGGAGGAGCCCAGGGATTGAGAAATATTAGAAATAAAGAGAGAAGACATAGAGATAGATTTCAAGCTGGGAGCTGGGAGGGCCGCTGACCTCCTCTGCTGGAGAGACTGACCGACCACCTCCTGAGCCACGCAGCACATCAATTTATACTCCAGTCCAACAAGGGGTTTCACAGGAAAACAAGGAGCCTGGGAGAGCCCAGGCTCCACCCACTCCTTCCTCCTGAACAAGCACATTAGTCAGGAACTAAGAACATCTCCGCACTCCCAGGGCGGGAGAGCAACTGACATGATTCTGCCAACATCCAGGGCCCAGTCAGCAACAATCTATAGAATGTCCAGGTGTCTTCCCATTTGGCCCTCTACATATCACCATTTTTTTTTTAATTTAAACATTAAGAATAAAACTCTAAATTAAAACAATTGCAAATAATGCCAATGCAAAACTAAACTACATGTTATCATTTTCAAAACTTGAATGTCACGAGCAAAAACTCTGACTATTAAATAATAACAAAATAATGCCAATGCAAAACAACAATATGATAAATCAGAACTATGGACATATTAACATTTTTTGCTACCAAATGAAAGAAAGTCTCTTTTGCTGCTGCTGTATATTTACTCAAGAGTCCTTGGACTTGGCTGTGCAAGACTTTGCAGAAGACTGGAAGCTACTCATGCTAGCATGAGCAGGTGCATGGTTGAAGAAGTAGCTTCCATTTCAGTCTTTAACTTCTTCAGATGACTCCATGTTGGCACCACAGTCCCTCGTGTAGCTTTAAGTTTTCTTCTGCTTTGCTGTCAAGGAGCAACTCTCAGTCCTTCCTTGCCCTTGGTCCTGGGCAACCTGCAGCAATGCACAGGTGCTGACTGCTATCATGGCAAGGCATCTTCACTATCTTTATTTCTGGACTATTTCTCCTCTGTTCTTGTGAGCTCCTACTTATTCTATGGCTGGAACAGCCCTATCAGGTCCTCTCTGGGATCCGTTGTTGCAGGAATCCATACAGTCTTGGAGTTTTTCTGGAAATATAAACATATTTTCGACCAAAGGTTAATAAAGAAAACTTTTCTATGAATTAGACTTGGGATCCTTTTCATTTTTTGCCCAAACGATTTTCCTTTGCCTTATTCTGACATCATGTGTGTTTTGTTGTTAGCATTACAAATGGAAATTAGTTTTTTAAAGAAAAAAAACTTTCTGGATATGTTTCCTTACATAATATTTTTCCACTATTTAATATTTTTTGATTTATTTAATTATTAGGATGCTTTTGGGAAATTTTTATAACACAGTTTCGATAATTTTACTTGTTTTTTTTTTTTTTTGCACAAAAATATGACTGCTTTTTAGGTTTAATTGCATGGTAAGCAATTTTACCATGAACTACCAATAGAAATTTTAGTTAACACTTTAGAAACAACTTCTGCACAATGAACTTTTCTTAAATATTTATTTCAATTAGCCAATTTAACCTGAAAACTTGACTATTTTAGTCAAATTTAATACTTTAACAACAACCTTAGTTTACCCTGCAAATGTTAATGAAAAGGATTATATGCATCCTTTCTCTATATTTAGGCTAGACTTAGATATAGGGCAGCTGCCATCAGCCACTTCTCTGCTGCCTGGGTCTCAATCTGAGCTGGACAAGTCTCCATTTGTTGCCTGGGTCCCAATCTGAGCTGGGCATCGGAAGCGCAAAGCAGCCATGGGGCAGGAGACCTCCCTCAGAAGGGGTGAATGTTTAAGCCCCTGCAATGTTGGGGGGGGGTGAGGATCTGTGCCCCACCTCTGTTGACCCCCAAGTTCTCTTCTGATGGCCCTCTGCGGCTGTGCCTGTCTTAGGTTGTCCCTCCCTTGAGAAATCTTACCCGTCATTGGCTACCCAGCCATCCTCCGGGGCCAAGCAGGGCGATGTGAGGTTCAGTTCCGTCTCCTTGGTAGCCTATGTCCCTATGGCCCCCATGCCCAGCACCTGCCTTGGGATCCCTTCGCCTGCTGGCGGGGCCCAGGGATTGATCACATATCTTGGGAAACCCAGGTTTCTTCTCCAGGGAGGGCTCAGCTCATGCCCTTGGGCAAGAGACAGATCCATGGTGCCATCCACCACGAGGCTTCAACCTCAGCATGAATTGAAAACTCAGGCAACAGCTGTGAGTAACTGAATTGTGACAAGAGGGTCCCTTTTGGCGAAAAGAGCCAGAAGGGCCGATATAGAATGCTCAAGTGCCTTCCCAAGGGGCCTTCCACACAGTGGAAGGGACTAAATCCTTTCATGTGCTTTTTAAATGGCTGCCAAACATTCAAAGAATTAGTTTGTAAGTTTGTTTGGTATATGCTGTTATAAAATATCAAAAAGTATAATGACACTGTAGAATAATATCATGTAAGGATACTTTAATCCATGATAATTCAATTTCAAACTGAAAGAAATATTTAGTTACTTTGTTTTGCCCTTCTAAAGAGGCCAAAACCTTGATAAAATTTGAAATATATGTACATAAGTAACATATATTAATTTTTTTAATGTATTTTATTGATTTTTTTTTTTTACAGAGAGGAAGGGAGAGAGCTAGAGAGCTAGAAACGTCGATGAGGGAGAAACATCGACCAGTTGCCTCTTGCATAACCCCTACCGGGGATGTGCCCGCAACCAACGTACATGCCCTTGACCGGAATCGAACCTGCGACCTTACAGTCCGCAGACCGACGCTCTACCACTGAGCCAAACCAGTTTCGGCTAATTTTTATTTGATAAAGCAATCACTAGCTGTTTTTGGCCTTTATTAGAATTGTTTATAAAATTATTGGCTTTTCATTTAGCTGAAAACCTTGATTATAATTTGATAATCTAATTTATTTAAGTAATTAAAGTAGGTATCTTCATTTTAAAATTAAGGCAAATTTACTTCTGAATTCACAAGCCACAAATTTTGCCCTGCCTCTAGCGTAATTAAAAAATGCAGGCGGCTACATAAAGTTAGGATTCAATTATTTATAAAACATTAGCTTCTCATGTAACCTAGTTTATATGACATTGATTATATTGTAAAAGCTAATTTATAAAGTAACTTAAGTAGGTATCTTTAAATTTTTTTTAAAGGCAAAAAGTTATTCAGTAAAACTTATAGGTTTGATATTTTATTGGTCTGATCCAAAAGCATAGTGTCCCACCTACAGTCAATTCAAAAATGCAGGCTGCATGAGGCCTTTTTGTCTTTTTTGAAATTCTACCGCTATTGAAAATTTTGGCTATATTTAAGAAATATTTTGTTTTTGCTTTTCTTACAGGTGAAAACTTTCATAACATTTAATATATGGTATAAGATTTTTATTTGATAAAGCTTTCCATGTGATTCCAAGTATCAATCTGCTTAATTAAAAAAATATTTTTTTTAATAGGTAAGTCTTTTGAACATTTTGGGGCATGTGAAATATGCAAAAGTTATTCTTAAAAAACCTTGAAATACTCTTGGAAAGATCAAATTTTCATATATGATTTAAAGATTATATACCTAAATTATCTTAGAGAATATCAATTACATTTAATTTGGATCAATGAAATAATCCTCTTTCTTTTAAATCAGACCAAACAAGTAACATATTTTGAATTCCTAATTATATAAGAGAAAATACACTTTAACTATATAATTTCTCCCCATTTAATTTGCATTTTGAACTTTTAAAGCTGTATTTTGCATGTCCTAGATTAATAACACTTTACATTTCTAAGAAAAATACAAGACATAATCAATTAAGAACTTCAATTCTGTCCTCTAGATTTTTTTATGAGGTGAATTTAAACTTTACTTTTAAAAAATATATATATATTTTATTGATTTTGTACAGAGAAGAAGGGAGAGAGATAGAGAGCTAGAAACATCGATGAGAGAGAGTCATCGATCAGCTGCCTCCTGCACACCCCCCACGGGGGATATGCCCACAACCAAGGTACATGCCCTTGACCGGAATCGAACCCGGGACCCTTCAGTCCCCAAGCCGATGCTCTACCCATTGAGCCAAACCGGTATCGGCTAAACTTTACTTTTTTATATATACCGTATTTTCCAGCGTATAAGACGACCCCCTAACTTTACAGTTAAAACATAGGTTTAGGCCTATATTCGCTGTATAAGACTACCCCCCACTTCAAAGAAAAGACTTACTTTGTCGTCAAGATCTGCAGGTAATTTTTGTGCAATTTTGGTCTTTTGCCCCCGATTTTTGGTTGACTTTTTTTCGTTTCAAAAGTCATCTTATACGCCGGAAAATACGGTATATAATTAAGAGTCAACTTCCAAAAAAAAAGTGAGGTTTTTTTTTGCCACAGGAGTTTGGAGGAAGTTTGTAGCCATTCAATACCTTTGTTAGCTTACTGGGAGAGTGGTTAGAGCAATTAAGGTTGCTGACCAGCTTTCCTGGCTTCCTGTCAACACCTCTCCTTTAGTGAAACCGATTTGTTTCAGGCATCATGGGAAAAAATAAATAAATAAAAAATAAAGACACTTTAAACTTTCAGAACTTTAAAATTTTTCAGGTAGCAAATCAAATACTTAGCATTTCTCAAATCAATAATACTTTTACACTTTTAAAGATACATTTCAAATGAAATATAAAGCATATTTAATTAATATACTAACTTCTATCCTGACTCATACTAAGCATACTTAGATCAACATTTCAGTATTATAACAATTCAATAAATTTAGATTTAAGTTTTTATCATTTGATTTAGTAACTTCCAAATTCTTTTAAATTTCCAGCCAGTAGGCCTGGCCCAGCCTTTGATTTTCAAAATGGTCACAATTTTTCTGCTGGGGAAGTCAAGAGAGAAACTCTCAGCCATTCACAGTAAACTTGCTATCTCCTTTCTGGTGTTTACTTGCCTTTGGGCAGGAATCTCAAGTGCTGCTTTAAATGCCTTGGGAAATTAGCCTGTATTCATCTCCACCATTTACAAGGCTAAAAACAGCCTCTCTGGTCTTTATTCTGTACCCAGCAAAGAGTTGAGCCCAGCTCAAAAACTGTGCGCACTCGTTTTAAACTGGCTTTTCCCCTTTACATGTGCACATCAATCCCCAATGCATTTATGAATTTGTAAAAGCTTTAAGTCATTAGCTGGGGAAAAAAGATGGTGAATATGAGGTCTCTTAAAGTCGCTTATTTTGGGACTGGCGTCGTTTATCTATTGTTTTTGTATTTTATTACTTTTTCAATTTTCATTCATTTTTATTTTTAAGGAAAGAAAAAGATTTTAAGATACTTGGTTACAAGTTTACATGTGGAGGCGGAGGAGGTGCAGATGGTATTCTTAAAGATTTGCACCCTTCCATTCCAGGCTGTAAGGTTATGGCTGCACCCCACTTAAACATTCTCAAATTCTCCTGTGCTGAATCAAAAAATAAAGTAGGAACAGGAATTGTCTCTGGACTTCCTGCTGAGTATTGGCCACGCAACTGCTTTCTAACCTTTTCCCAGGTTTCATCAAGAAACGTTAAGAAAGAAAGAATCTGATACGCTTCACAGAATCTCTTTGAACCATGAGCGTAGTTTAAAGCATTTAGAAGGATTATCCAGCTGATTCAATTTCACAGCAATACACTCCCTCTACCTTACAGTTCCTTCAATCTGTGGCGCGCACAATTTTTGGGAGCGATCCCTTGCCTTACCTCTTGTTGCCTCTTTCGGCCCATGCCCCACGTTGGGCGCCAGAATGCGGGGGCCTGAAGCTGCGGGGATCTTCCTTTTCCATGTCTCACACGGAAAGAGAGATGAACGAACTGGTTCTAAGTGGAGGTGCCCAGGGATTGAGAAATATTAGAAATAAGGACAAAAAACACAGATTTCAAGCTGGGAGCTGGGAGGGCCGCTGACCTCCTCTGCTGGAGAGACTGACCGACAACCTCCTGAGCCACGCAGCACATCTATTTATACTCCAACCCAACAAGGGGTTTCACAGGAAAACAAGGAGCCTGGGAGAGCCCAGGCTCCACCCACTCCTTCCTCCTGAACCAACACATTAGTCAGGAACTAAGAACATCTCCGCACTCCCAGGGCGGGAGAGCAACTGACACGATTCTGCCAATATCCCGGCCCAGTCAGCAACAATCTATAGAATGTCCAGGTGTCTTCCCATTTGGCCCTCTACAGGGGCCTGAGGGCCTGACTGCCCGTGTGACTGGGGGCGTGGTTTGGAAGCCTGATCCCAGCTGACCCTCAGGGCTCCTAGGTGAGCGGTGGCCTTTTTGCAGGTTATCTCCGTTCCTGTGGACGGAAGGCGCACAGCTACCCTGTTTCCCCGAAAATAAGACAGTGTCTTATATTAATTTTTTGCTCCCAAAGATGCGCTAGGTCTTATTTTCAGGGGATGTCTTATTTTTCCATGAAGAAGAATACGGTACACATTTATTGTTAAATGAAAATAAAGGAAATTTATTACTGTATACAGTACGGTAGTCTGGTAGTTGTCAACACAAACCAGACAAACTGTGAACCCTACAGTATCAAGAATTTACTCATTTATTCAATGACAATCATATCATCTTCTGGAACATCATCATAACAATCCAATTCCTGAATTTCCTGGTGAATTTCTTGGGACTCCATTTCTTTCAGAATCAGTGGACCAAATCTCTCATGTTTAGCCTACGGGGGGCCTTATTTTCAGGGGATGCCTTATATTTCACTCAGAAGGAAACCTGTAAGTAGGTCTTATTTTCGGGGAAACACGGTAGAAAGCAGCCCGGTCCACCAGCTTCCGTCATCTCCACTCACCAGGCGCCAGCCTTGCGTGTGGACGCAGCCAGGTGCCCTCCCGCACTGGGCTTCCCGCCCTCTCCCCTCGGTGCGTGTGGGGTGGGCCCGCACCTGCGGTAACTCAGTGGTCATCCACAGCCACGCACTGCGGAGCCCCGGGGAGAGGCGCGGGCCGAACTGAGGCTCCAGCTGTGCGGCCCTGGCCCCGGCCTTTCTTCTCTGGGCCCGGAATCCTCCCTTCCTGTGCTGCCCTGCGTGCCAGCGCCCTGAGCTGCGAGGCCCCAGGGAGGCTGGACCAATCTAAGTGACCTGTGCGTGAGCAGCCGGCCGTGGTCCAGTTCCCAGTGACCCCAGCCTCACCTTCTTCAGGGAAGAGGCAGGGACTCTGCCTTCCTCTCTCCGTCTGGAGGACAGGCAGTCACCCACAGACAGACTGTTGTCGCTGAGATTCGGGGGAAGGGACAGGATGAATTCACAATTAGGAAACCCGCTGGCCACCCCCACCCCACCCCCAGCAAACTGCGGGAGGGGCACAGACTGGGGGAGGGGAGTCACAGCGTGGTGACTAATTGGGAGACTCCTCCCCAAAGAGAGGTGGGGGGCATTCAGGCACCTCACTTAAGGGTGCCCCCCTACAGCTCCTTCCTTCCCGGTGGGAAGGCTCTGGGTGCTGGGAGCACTTTCACACGTGAGCTCTCACCGACCCTCCTCGGCAAGGTGCTGCTTGCCGACCCCCCTCGCAGACAGGACACTGGAGTCCCAGAAGGAAGGGAAGTGCCAGGCCTTCCAGTAAACAAAGGAAGAGGCTTTCACAATCCCGTGGCCGCTCCTGCCAGACGTTCGTTCGCTGATGAAGTGCTGCTGGGCAGGAGGCAGCCTCGGGGCTGGGAAAGGCCAGGGCTGGCCGGGTGCCCTCTGGAAGGGCCAGGAGGTGTGTCCACGGGAGAAGCAGCCTGTCTGGGAGCCCGGGGGAAGGAGGCCGGCCAGGGGCTGGGAAAGCAGTAGCAGGGGTTTGAGGGGTTACCGGAGGTGGCTCACAGCTCAGGCACAGATCGTGTTTGCTCTCCTTATTGGTTTCCATCCCAGAGAGGAGACGATGCCCTCTGGCCCCCGGGGCGCCTTCTCCCAGCCTCACGGAGGGGCCGGGGAGCACCGCGCTGTGCCGAACGCCGGGCATTTGTTACTGATTGTCAGCACTGGGCAGGGGCACGATTATCCCCGTTTCACTGAGGAGGAGACGGAGGCTCAGACCTGCCCCCGGTGTACAATTGCTAAGAAGCAGATGACAGGCCGACCCCAGCCCCGCGCCCTCTCCTGGACCCTTAGAGTTCCCGCTGCACAGCCCTGGGCTTCCTCGGCCCCCTGGCCGTGTGGCCCGGCCCCTGGGGCAGGCTCTTGTGGGGCTGGCTTTTCCTTCGTCCGCCCCGACTTTGGGTCTTACTCCCCTCTCCGAGGGGCGGCCCACCTTTCCAGCTTTGGCCTACCACGCTGACCCAGTGTGCACAGCGGTTCTGGTGTCAGTATTGATACCTCCCATTCTGAGAAACCAGTTCACTCTGAACAAGTCATTCTCCCACTTACACACAGATCTCCACCCATGGACAGATTCACCCATGGACATACGTGCATGCACACACACAGAGACTTATACATACCACGTTAACACCCACCCACACAACATATGCAAATACGGACACACTCACTGAGCCACGTACAAACCCAGAGAGACACGTACAAACACACATACATTCATGAGGACAATTCAGAGGAACATCAGACCCTGAAAGGCACACTCACTGTCCCCTGTGTGCTGGGGCCACGCCCTCTCCCACCCCGCTCCCCTCACTGCCACCTCTCCTTTGGGAGAAGATGTATTTGCTTAAGGTCTCTGTCTCCTAGGAGATCACTGGCTCCCTCAAGGTAGGGCTGCTGTCCGTTTTGCTTTGGTTGGGTGTCCAGACCTAAAACTGCTTAACACATGGCACGGTGTGAAAAGCATTTGCTGAATGAGCGAGTGAATGAATAAATGAATGAATTGCTCCCTCCAGAAACGCCTCGTCCTCCACGATATGTTTGCCCGGACGCTGGGCCAGAGCCCACTTTGAAGCAGCTGTAGGGAACCCTGAGGGCCGAGGACATGGTCCCACCAATGGGCTCCCTCTCCCTCCTGGGAACTGAGGCCCAGGGAGGCAGGTGTCTTGCTTAGGACTTGCCTCTGCAGGAGAAGCGTCCAGGTTGCTAGGGTCTGAATGTGTGTGCTCCCCTCCCCCCAATTCATACAGAAACCGAACCCCCAGGTGATGCTATCAGGAGGCGAACCCTGGGGAGGTGCTTAGGCCTGTGGACAGAGCCCTCCAGCAGGGGCTTGGCTGTCACAAAGAGAAGCTCTCCTCTTCACACTACGAGAGGGTGAGGAGACATCTCTGAGCCGGAAGGAAGAGGGTCCTCACCCTGCTGGACCATGAGCTCGGAGCTCCAGCCTCCAGAGCTGTGAGAAATAAAGGTCTCCTGTTCATAAGCTTCCGGGGGTGGCATTTTGTTCCAGCAGCCTGATGGGCTAAGGGCCTCCCACCACCAGGCGCTCCCACCCCTCAAACCCGGCTCTCCAGGGTGCCAGGCGAGGCTCTGGGCTCTGCTGGCCTCTGGCCTCCCAGCCTTTGCTGCCATATCCCTGCCCTGAGCAACAACCTTGCCCCTCTCCAGCCCCAGATGGAGCTTCTCCAGTGAGGACCATGGAACCTCCCAGCACCTGTCCTGCCACTGAGACCTCCCTGGGAGGCGAGTCAGGTAGGCCTGTGGCTGCCTTAAAGCCCCCCAAAGGCTTCCCGTGCTCTGGGAGCCAGGCCCACTCTCCCTGCCCTGGTCCACCGTCCACTGTCCATGCTCAGGTGCTCAGGTTAATCTCACAGACCGAGCCCTGGGGCCTTCTCACACTCACACTCTCCCCTCAGCCTGGAGTCTCTGGCTGCACTGGCCCCTTCTTCCCCGCCCCCGCCCCCCCCCCACCCCCGCCAGTCTTTTGCCTCCTGAGGGACTGCACCCGCCATATTGTTTTGTAGTCAGTATTCAATGACTGTGTGACTTGGGCAAATTACTTCACCCCTCCTCCCACTGCTTCTTCAAAATGGAGATACTTAACGGTAGCCAGCTGAGGGGGTTGTCTGAGGATTAGAAGAGATGCTGTTTGTAAGAGTTCCTGGCTCAGTGCATGCTGGTTTCCTGCTCCTCCTGAGGTCTTGCCGTTTGGAGGAGCCCAGCGGAGCCCCAGGATGGAGGCGTGGGGGCCCTCTGGGACAGAGCCCATTCTCCTCTGGCCTGGGAACAGCCTGGGTGAGCCCAGCGGAGCTGGAGGCCAGTGCAGGACCATGGGATCCTGTGCTACGGGTCCCTGGACCTGGGAGCCTGGCCTAGACACGGAGGTGTGGGCTGTGTGTTGGGGGTTGGGGTGTCTGCAGCTGAGGAC